ATTTGGTATAGTCCAGAATTACACTCAAGCAATCAGCAGTGCACACCTTGTGCAGATGATGCTGTAGAAAACATGAGGCAGACGCACTCCCAGTGCAGTCAGTATGATACAGTCGGCTGCTGAATTTATATCCTGAACTGCTAATAAACAAACTCTGCAATCCAGATTAGAGCAGTACATTTGAAATGGTTCTCAAACACCCAAATATAGATGTGTATATAGGTATATACACACTGCTTAGGACTTTACAGGTTAGGAAGGATCACATTCAGTAATAGTAATAGGAGGTAGAATCGAGTCGACAGTGTTGGTATTTCTACGTGGCAATAAAAAAAAGTGCTATTACTATCACTGAATTCAAGAACAGAGCTCCTGAAAAAGTGAAAAGGATAAAATAGTTGTTAATCCTGTTTAGCCTGGCTAAAATGCTCAAGCATGTAAAGGAAATGACTACATTCCCCAGCATGGGTAAAACTGCAAAGCAAAAGTGTTAAGTGATGCTTCTCCAGTGCTCTGGGATGGGCAGCATCACCTAAGGGTGACACCTATATCAAAGCAACCTCAACTTCAGGCACCAAAGTCTGCAAAGAAAAATACAGTATGGTGGATTTCAGGGTAAGACATCTAGGTTTCAAGTACCCTCAAAAGAGCTGGAAGAACAGAAAAAACAGAGCAAAAGATTGAATGCAATGCACTCAGACAGGAAATAAAACCAGAGAGATGAACAGGGAGGAAAAAAGGGCAGGAACATAACAAGGATACAAATATGGAAATGAAAAAATGGGGGCAAATGAGATGGAAATGAGAAAAGGCATAGCAGAGAGGCAAAGGGCACCACAGGAATAAAGGAAGTTGACTTAATCCAAGGGCTCCTTTATAAATAAAAGTATATGCAATGGTAGAGAAGATCAGCTGTGAATAAATAAGTGTTAGCATCTGGATGCTGGATCTGTAAGTGAAAATGTCTATTAATTAGAAGTTAAACTGCTGAAAGAAGTTTCATCACCTGAAAAAGAAAACCTGCAAACAAATGGTTTTGTTATTCTCAAAACAGAAATAAAACTGTAAGGTTCCAAACTCAGCCTGACAGACACTAGGAAAAAAATACCATGCATATTAAAATCCATTAGATGCACAACAGAGAAAATCCTGAACAAGCACAACATCAGTACAGCAGTGTTTGAAACTGTGATCTTCCAAGTGACTACACCCAACATTGCAATACAGCTACATTTAACTGTACACAGGTTCTTTTACAATTTGTAATCTGCAATACTGTTTAAAGTTTAGATGGTCAAAACCACTGAACACAAGTGCTGTCACATGAAATAAAAGCAGTGTAACCTGTTGAAAAAGTGTATCTATCAAGCCCATTTCCAGTTAGTTAGGAAAATCAGTGCATCCAACCAAGAAAGCAGAGAGCAACACAGGCACCTAAAAGACCCTGTGAGATTAACTTTCCCCTCAAGGTTTTCTTTAGTGCAATAAGGACCACGCTTTCCACCAAAATAAGCAGAGAAGTAGAAAAGGTGTTTGTTTGTTTGTTTAAAATTAAAAAACCCAACCCTGCCAAAAGCAGCGTTATAAAGAACAAAATGATCCTTCCCAACCATATTATACCAGAAGTTGGTATACGCAAGGATCCAATATGAATCTGGTTTTGTACACAAGCCCCTGTGCTCATGTGGACAGTTATCTCCATGATTAAAAATCAGGTTACAAAAAAACCTTACAGAAAATCCTTAGGATTTGATACTAATTTAAGATAAAATACTTTCAAGTATTATGTTTATGAATTAATTAGAGGACAAGGCATGATTTAAGGTAACATTGAGACAAAAACTCTATGTTACCCTAAATGACCTTTATAATACAGCTAACTTTCTGCAATCTGTTCAGGATTTGTTTCCTTTACATTAATTTCTCATCTACCATGATGCTAAAAAAAAGAAATTAAAACAAAAGCACAAAAAAATGCATTAAAAAAAAAAGATTTATGTCTCTCTGAACAAAAAATGCCTTTTTGACAGTGAACAGGTGAAGCCAGATTTCTACCTTCAAGTACCACGACTTGCATCACAGACACAGTACTACACAAAGGACAGGAACATCACAAAACTATGCCAGAGGTATCTCCCAAGTAGACAAAAAAACAACCAAAAAAAAAAAAAAACAGGCCAAAAAAACCCTCCAAAGAAGAAACCCCAGAGGCTCCCACCCGCTCTGTGACCCCAGCTGCAAGGGTGACACACCCACACACACATACAGACACGCAGTTACTGAGTGCAAATGTTGCAGCAAGTGCCTGCAGCAGCTTCCAGGGAAACTGCATCATTTCATGCTACACAGATAAAATATACTACGTTTAAAAAAAGATAAAAATTTTAGCACCAAGTAAAAGGTTTTTTCTTATCCCCAAAAGCTGACATTAAAAAAAAACAAAACTATGAGAACCTCCAAGGTTATTCTCCAATAACCTTCAGTTTTACTCTCATCTGTATCCTGGCAGTGGAAACATTACATTAGTGAATTAAATGCTCAGTCTGCTTGGCATTTTACAGGCTAGGAGGACTTCTTTACAGAAATTTGGAAACCTGAAGTGAACCTTCAGATTTAAACTGGGGGAGATGAACTAGATATCCAAGGACACCACGCAGAGGGGGTGTTCGTATCCACTGCTCCTTCCCAAAGTCACACTGGGGATACGTGGGCTGACAGCATCCCTCTGGCTATGGGAATGCTTACATCAAGAAGGATGCAGGGACCCTGAGTATGGCCAGCACCACACCCCAGGGCTGGTGTGGCGCTGGTAACACTGAGATGCACCAAGGTGCCACCAACCTGGCCTCCGTTTGAAACCAGAACAGCCCCAACTTTTGAGGACAGTATTACACCACAGACCTAATTTGTACCTGCAAACAGCACAATGGAAGAAACCCAGAGAGACCCTGTGCCTTGGTCTGACAGTGCACTGTATTTCCCCTCAGAAGTTAAAGGACAGAGTTGTTTTAGGGATTTTAATTAAAAAAAGAAAAAAAAAAGAAAAAAAAAAAAGTAGAACGTTCTACTGAAATACCAGAGATCATATGGGTAATTCAATACTTTAGTTAAGGCAAAATATGAATAGTTATAAAGTGAATTTTCCAGTGGTACAAGATGAAAATGAAATAATTTGAAGAAAAAAAAAAAAGCTGCCTTCATATAACCACCTACTGGAGTTGCCTATTTAAATAATTATAAAATTATGCTAATAAAACTGAACAAATAATACACAGATCAGGATATATGTATTGACTTACTAGCATCTTTATAAAAATTTGAAGATATACACAAAAACACATCAACATTTATGGAACCATATCCATTTAAATTTAGATAAGACAACACAAAAAACTAACAAATAGCTAAGATGTGGTTGACTGTAAGCACTTTGAGTAACATTTTAATTTTAAAAGGTCAATATTTACATACTACATTAAACGTCTTCTCTTTTTTTTTTCCATTTTGCATCGTATTGTGAATTCACTACAAAGAAAGAACAAGATAATGGTTGCAACAGATCTTCCAAGAAAGTTAACTTAAAATGCTCAGATTTAACTCTGTGCTGGAAGAGAACACATCAAGAACACGTCCGTCTAGCTTTACCTCTACTTCCTTTGGGTGTTTTTGGGAGGAGACAACGAACAGATCTAAAGGAGCTATATCATCCAAACTGATTAATGCCAAAAGATCCACTTTTAAGTTAGGAATTGAGAACTAAGAAAACACAAACATTTTAAAAAATGACTCACCTAATTGCTACTTTTGCTACTGACTTTTTTAGGATATTGGAGAGATACAGTGACAACACAGGGTGTGAGTATGTATGTATGTGTATAATAAAATAAATATAGACATACATACATATGGTATGTTTACATGTAGGAAGGTACCCAGGTACTGCAGTAAGCAGCTGAATTAATCCCCAGCAATCCACTCATACCCTGTCTATGCACAAGCAATAATCTCCTGCAACTGCTATTAAAGAAGATGCATCTACTCATCAAACAGGCATTGCTCACGTCACTCCTTCATTTAAATAGATATGAGGCCATTTCATGCCTTTATTCCAAACCCACACATTTGTCTCAAAAAAAAAAATATTAAAAACCCAACTGAATAAAAATTTTTAAAACTTAAGTTGGCTGAACCTCAGGCTCTTTGGGATAGATTCAAAACCCAAAGCAGGAGCATTTCTACAAGTTTCTTTGACTTTTGAATCAATCCCATATTCTCAGGCTCCAAGAAACCCTTTAACCCCAATAATGTTTGCTTCTGACAGGACAGCTGATCAACTGCAGATGTTCCTACTGCTGAACTCAGCTGCTGGCCTGTCTGGCGTTTGCATCTCTCCCACATTTCCAGACACGCACTACTGTAACTCCACACCGAGATGTCTCCTTGTCCTGCTCACTGCAGAGAAGCTGCTCCCTAACAATGGGATGAACAAGTATTTAATGCCTTCTTTTAAAGATAAGCAGTTATTTCTTTAGAATAAAAGTGACATAACGTGAGGAGGCAGCGCAGGGGTCCCAGAGCTGATGGTGTGAGGAGCTAAACAGCCTGGGGCTGATCACTCTGCAGGTCTCTGGGACTGGTCCCATTGGGCACTTCCTACCTGCAGCTCCTGCTCTGTCCTGGGCTTGGCTCTACTCTGAAGCACTAACAGCACTTCATGTACAGCAATTGTGGCTGCACATTAAACATTATGCATGAATTATACATGTGGGTGTAAACCTTGCTTCCAGGAAAAGATTCTCATTCTGCTACTGTGTCTTGTCACTAAATTTCAAATGGAGTTAAAGAGTATTTCCTAAGCATGTTATTCTATATTATTTCAGTGAACAGAGAGCAGGTCTACCTAGAAGGCTTTTGACAGTACTTATTCCATCATTATTTCGGTAACTTCTACTTAATTGAGAATCTGGACCAAAAGTGGAAGAAAGCCAATTAGGTATCTGTGCCATTAAATCATCCCCCCCACCAAAAAAAAAAAAAGAAAAAAAAAAGATACTATAAATATACTAAAAAAAGCTACTATAAATTTGCTTAGCTCATCCCTTTACAGCTTGGCAAGCCTATTTTGGACCCCTTTTGCAGCTCTTTTATTTCATACCCATAGTGTTTTTCTGCACTCAGGTAACAAACCTACATTCCTGTAAGTCCCCCCCTTCAAAAAGTAGGTGGAGTCCTTAAGAGTATTCCTAAAATAAAATATGAAGCAAAACATCATGGTTTAAAAACTAAGGAAATGTTCATAAAAACTGGAATCCAATATAAAGATGACATTTTAATAAGTTTATTCAGAAGTAACTGAAAAAATTGCTCCTTTGGCAACTCCATCTGGATAGTTCTAACCAAAAGGAAATATTACGAATTTTACTTTGAATAAAATATAAGCTCCTTAATGTTTGCATGGCATTTTTGGGAACTGACACATTCATCAGGAGATTCACAATGTCCTTATAGTCCTTTATGTATCAGGAACACCACATCAAAACAAGTCCTTGCAGTTACGGGTTTCTTACGGTTCAGCATTAATCACAAAATAAATCTCAAAGAAAAAAACCTGATCAAAATAAAGCATGAGGCAAACCATGAAACACTAGCTCAAAAGAACTATCAGGAATGCACCACTCTTCCTGCATAACATTTTTGAAGTGACCCACCAAATATTTCTTTTTCCTTGCAACTGGCAGAGTTAATTAAAACAACCTAATTACAACTCGGAGTTCACTACCCCACAATGCTACTGAAGGGCAAAGATCCTTGCTTTTAGAAACCAAGGGAAAATACAGTGATGTTCTTCCTCCTACACAGGGTTTTATGGAATAAGTGGAGTTGGAAAGAGAGGATGGAAGTCTATGTTGGAATAAAAAAATGCAAAGACAGACTTATTTACAAAGATCAAAACTACAATTTTCCAGTGTCACCTCCAAAGCTTCTCAGCAAACTGCTATTCAGCAAAGCAGACCATGTTCAAATCTACACAAGAATACCTTCTGTGCTCTCAGGTATACAATGCAACTAATTTGATTAGAAAAACGAGTTTTCATTCAAATACCTTGCACTGAAGATAAGAGCAACCATTATCAAATATTCTTTGCTATGGAGAAAGTTTTTTAAATCTTTCGCTGTAACCATTCTTTCTCAAGTCACTGTGGTCACACAGTAGGATCCTGAAGAACAATGTCTACATGCATCAAAAGCATTTGGAAAAAAAAAATAATCCTATAATTCCATGTGGTTACAACAGAATGTGAAGAAACTGAACAGAAATTCCACCTTTGCAGATCCTCTCGAATTCACCTCTCCTGGAGGTCACCTTGGTGCTTTCTGTAGTTCAAGAGAGCAGTTACAGACTGAGCTGACAGGTGGGCTCCCAACCCGATGGATTTTCCACTGAGTCTGCAGCTCCACAGTACACTGAGGTCGGTGCAGGGGCTTCTCTCAGCAGACATCACTCCACAATCAGCGCCACGTTGATGTGGGACAGATCTATCATGTGCCTGTTAAAGTTAAAAGAAAAGTTAAATGTGCTCAGATTGATTCTGGCATGGAGCTTCTATGAAGATCACTAATCAGCAGATGCTTGATTGGATTAAAGAAACATTGAGCCAGAGGAGACTGATTTTATCTTCTGAAAGGAGGGAAGGAACTACGGCGGCAGCAATGTTTAATTATTTACCTGTGGAATTTCTGTTGAAATGCTAAAGCATGTGCTGGCTCCTTGAATTTTGCTATGGCTTTCCGCTGTTGAGGAAGCATCTGTAAACTCTGCGGAGACAAAAAGCCAAAACATATTTTTAATATTCACTTGAACACCCACTTCAAACAACAGCCCCTTATTTTGCATGAAACCCACTGAAATTCTTTGGTATTTCTTTATTCAGAAATGCATTTGGTGTTCTCTTATTTGTGTCCACTAAAAGAACAGACTGGAAAGAGACTTCTGAGACTGCAGTCAGGGTCCCAGCTGATGGTGTTTTGAGTTAGTGCTTTCCAGAGGTTAAACAGGGCAGAAACAGAAAAAAGTGCTAAGTTCTCTCAACTGCATATCCTCACGCTATTTTTATAAAACAAGTGGCCAGCTCTGACAGGCAGCACCACAAAGCCCCACTGAGATGAGAAAGATCACCACATCCAAGTCCTCCATACAACACACGTCTCCCCAGACAAGCCCATCTGAGTGCCTCCCATACCATGAGAGCAGCAGCTCACAAAGCTTTAACTACAACAAACCCCCTACATAGTACTGAGCTCTCCAAAAAACACACCTCAGCCAGGGCTCTGGAGAACTCATGTCCTTATTCCCTGCTGGCAGCAGCAAGTCCAGGCCAGGCTGATCCCACAGAGCAGTCCTGTGGCCTTGGTAAAGAAGGCCACTTATGAAGTTTGAAGCTTATGCTTTGAGTCAGCCCTTCAGTTAGAATAATTTTCCAGAAGACACTTGAGAAATTCAAGAAGATGAAACTTTACACATTAAACAGCTACATACCCAACAATCAGTGAGAACATCCAGCAAGTATTCAGCATCACAGAATACTAAGGATGGAAATATGACCCTGAAATCCTGCTGCCTGTGTACACAGGCCAGAGATTTCAGAGTAATGAGGTTAAAACAGATCCAAAGGCTTCAGTCAGAATTTCACAGTTCCACAGTGATTCCAGCACCTCATAGAAAGTTCTGGATGTTTAACAGCCTATGCTGCAGCACATTAAAGACAGAATTGTTCTAATTCAGCTTCCAGTTTTCTTACAGCTTTGGATGCGGAATAAAGAATTATTAACAATCTACTTTTCTCTCAGTTTCTACATAAAGGCAATACAGTTTTATACTGAGATTTAGAAACACACACACACAGACAAATGCATATATATGGACACCTTAAAACTTTTCTAGATTATGACCTCCTGATTGATAAGTATGAACATAATTCTTTGCTCCTGCATTTTGCCTGGAACTCAGCTGCATCCCCACACTTGGATGATTCCAGCTCTCTGATGGTCGGTCTTCAGGATTTTAAACTTTACCTTCAAAAATTCTGTATCACCATCTAGAGTGTAAAAAAAGTACCACAGATCTTTAGAGAAACCAACAATTCCTTGGGAATCAACATACAACCCTACTCAATACATTTTGAGGGTGACATAATTTGGTTTCTCTTAGTGAAAGAATTTTTAATCCCACTAATCTGCTCCCTGTTCATTCGATCTAATGGAGCATTTTAAGCAAGATGTCAAATGCCTAGATGAAATTTGTTATTACAGTTGTCTACTTCTATCTTTTTTGAACACATAAGACTCTCTTGATAAGATGTGTATTTAACAAGAGCCATGGCACCTGATAAATCATAATTCTTTGTCTCTAAGCCTGACAATTCAGCTTTGCCACTTTCTGTAGCTTACCTATCGGTGATTTTGAAGCTATTAATTTTGCACCTTCTTGTAACTGACAGGAAACTTTCCTTTCTCCAGGAAAATCACAGATGTTTAGTATTTCCACCAGCCTGTGATTTCAAAGTGAACGCTGAGTAAAAGTTAAAGGCTTGAGCAAATCTGACAAGCATCAGCAAGTTAATTTGCATTTTATAGTTTTTGGAAAGAGCTATACCTTTTCATCATAGCAGAAGTCACTGCAACTTCTCCATTTCTGAGCTAGTAGAAATAGGATTTAGCTTAAAAAAACCCACACAGTGGATGATTTTTATTTCTTTTTAAATTAGAATGCTCTTAACACAGTTAAGCACATTTTACCAATAAGAATGTAGTCATGCTGCAGAAAGCAGCAGTGAAAGACCCTGGATAAAGCTTAATTCACCTGCAGGTTTATCTGCAGGAATAAGAGACAGAGATGCTGAAGTTTGTGCTCTCCCTTACTGAGCTCACTATTTTATGATTTATAGAACTAGATCTTAACACACACTTTCTTGACACCACTTTTCTTCTTAAAAGAGAAAGAATCACAAACTAAGTAAGTTCTATCACTGAGGACTATGCTTTGAAGACTAAAAATTAAACACAGCCCTTAAATAAGATTTGGAAAGAACAAACTTTAAGAGTTGATACCAAAAGTATCTCTGAATTACAACTAAAACACAAACAAAAAAAAAATGTTCCTCTCAAAGAAGTCAACACTTTTAATAAGAGAAAAACTTGTTTGAATCACTGAAAGGATGAATATTTCAGTGAACAGTTCAACAAGAGGAGCTGTACAAGAACCCAGGGATGCACCCCTCCAACTGCACTCTGCATGTCTTGCTGTCAGCTGCTTCCCTCCCCTCTCCAGATCCACCTCCAACTCTCCTGCTGCCAACTCCCCACAATGTCAGGTCTCACTCAACTACCACAGCACCTTCTCCCAACGCTTTATGCTCCAGACCCCTGTTGTGATCAACTGAAGAAGAGAAGCTGCGTTTGGTGACACTTCCCACAAGAACTGAGCTATTATTGCATTAATATTCTTGAGAGGCACAAAAGCAAAATTTGATTTTGCAGTTTATATAAGCATGATGATGAATTATTAACAAGTTTCTCAGTAATTAGCATGTAAAAAATTGACTAAAGGAAGACATTCCAGTGTAGTGCAGACTTATTAACAAAATTAGGCAAAGCATCCAAACATTATTATAGATAACTTATTTGTACTTTCTTATGAATTAATAAGCTTATTGACTGACTAGTTTGGGTACTGTGTTCTTACACTGCACTACTGCTTTGTTTTTCAAAGCAAAAAAAAAAAAAAGGCAATCAAAACACTAAGTGCATTTTGATACTCAACTGCTTTGGCAACAAGGCTTCAGTTCTTGGGTAAGTTTACTGAAAAGCATCTTTATCAGATTTAATTGCTCTGATCAATACAACTATGGAAACAAAAAAACAACCCATCTGTTCCTTCACTGTCTAAACATAACCCATCACCCAGCCTGGGGTAAGGCAGCATCTTCTTATGCAGTTACACATGTCTAGATTTAAGACTGAGAATTAAGGACTGCAAAACAAAGGATAAAAAAACAATACTGGTCCAGTTGGAAACTGTCTGAAAAAAATTAATTTAAATGGGTTTAATTCAAATTCTCAGTCTCTGCTGCACTCAGACTATGTCAGCAAAAATGATGCATAATCACTTCATGTTTGTTAAAGGTATATGAGGTATATACACCTTTGGGTATAGATAAAAAAACCCTTCTGGTTTTAACAGAGACAATTACTAAGCTAAGTTACTCTGAGGATGTGACCACGGCCTTAAAATGCCACCATCTCTGCTGTGTTTTCAAACAAATCCTCAACTCTCACGACTTGCAAGTGTGAACATTATGCATCCAGCTAGAAAATATTTATTTATGTTCTGATTTTGGACAGTATCTTCTCACTCACTTAACTACTTAAGCCCCGAGTTTCATGTTTTAAGAACATTGATTATAAGGCACGCAACACATTTACCACAGGTGTAGGTCCTGAGCTGCTGCTATCCCATCCTGAGCAGACAGACTATTGGCTGGGCATAGAAATGAAGAATTCCACTTCAGCAGAAACCTGAAGTAAAATTATTGCATACACATCCTACTGGATTATTTCTGCCTTTTTGAATTCAGGGTGATTTGCAGTTTAGAGCTGATCCTATGTTTAGATGATCTTAACAGCTATAGTCAGAAGAAAACATTCCTTGTGTACCCTGTGGTATTTTATTCGCTCAAAATATTCAAGGCATTATCTCAAAGACTTACTGCACCAGCTTCTGCTTTTGTTGATTCCAAACACACAAGCTAGGAAAATACATCCAAAAATTAATTCATTTTGCTACTCTTAATTACCTTTACCTAGTTACCTTGCTAGTTTAACTTAAATGTTTTCATCCTTTTTGAATAATTTGGTAACTGTTCTTCTTTTTTTGTTTTTCAGTGATAGCATTCAATAGCCCCTCTCCCCTTTTGGAAACACATTTTCCCAGAGGCACAAACACTGCTGCTGATGGGCTCATCAGTGGTGGGTCCATCCTGGAGTTGGCTGGCATTGGCTCTATCAGACAGAGGGGAACCTTCAGGCAGCATCTCACAGAAGCCACCTCTGTAGCCTCCATCCACTACAGGAATGTGTCCATCCAAATCCAATACACATTTCTCAACTGCAAATTTCTCATTTACAAATGAGAAATACACATTTTTCATTACAAAAAGTAATTCAGTGTGTTTGTCTTAGACCTGAGGAAGCATGACAAAGCAGCTACAAGCACCACACAGGACTAATGACAGCTCCTCTCATTTTCAAAGAACAAATACTCCTACAGCAATCCTTGGTCTTATGATCTTCACTGTAACGACAGAACACGTGGTTCTATGTTTTCCAAAGCATGATACCTCAATTTCATCTGAGCTTGGTTTTATTTTATGAGCTACAGATGTTGAAAGGCCAGTGGTGGGAGGTAGGGAAGGCCGCAGCACTGCCTCTGGAGACCAGCTGGTTCTAGTGAGCATCTCTTGACTTCTCTTTTAATGAGAGGGCCCTCACTCTTCCTGCACAGGAGACTTCCCTATTGCCACACTATGAAACACCAGAACCTCCTGTCATGAGCCCCTAACTGAAATATCACAATCCTCCCAAACGTCACAGGTCTGAGAAGACAACTTCATTCACATCTTCTCTTTAAGTTGACCTAGTCAGATGTTCACCAGAGGATGAAAACCTCTTCCAGGATCCACTCAGGTGGAAAGGATTGACAATACATACAATAACTTCCAAGGGATTTCAAATGACTGGTTCCTTTACAGATTTGGCTG